CCAGAATTGGGCCTGTAGTCTAGGGTGGACAGGGAGTGGGAAGAGACCAGACAAGCCTCTACTGTGCTAAGTACATTGTAGGCCTTCTATAGTGTAGTTTTGCCCACCCGAATTAGCTGACAGGAGCTGTGAGCCATGGTGTTCTAGACCCAGTAAGTTTGAGCTGAGGACAGAAATTAATTAGAGGAAAGACTCAACAGTTGGGACCGAGAAAGAATGACCTCTCATTATCACTTTGGTCATACTCCCTTAGATACCCATTTTCTCTATAGTTCCTGGCTCTGACTGGCATCTACTTAATTGTATCTTATTTGTACCAGGTTATACAGGCTTAGCAAATAGTGAAAAGTGAAAAGAAAAAGAATATCATCTCTATCTCACCATAGGGAGGTAGCCATTGTATTCTTTGGATAATAGTTAATGCCCTTCTCTTTTGTGTCATGTATTTAACATATATATATATTTAATTAAAAAAACTCTCACCTGAGGATGTACTTATTGATTTTATAGAGAGAGGAAAGTGGAAATAGAGAAACATCAATGTGAGAGAGAAATATCAATTGGCCTTCCTTTACATGCCCTGACTGGGGATTGAACCCAGAATCTTCTGATGTACAGGATGATGCTCCAACCAACTGAGCCACCTGGCCAGAGCTATCATATGTTTTTCAATTATTATCCAATATTTAAGATATACAAAAAGGTATAAGAAATAATACAGTTAACATCCAGGTACTCAACATCCTGCTTAAGAAATAAAACTTTCATTTGTACTATTAAAGTTCTCATTGAGCCTTTTTCCTGCCATGTCTTTTTTCCTGTCCTTAAGAGATGACCATTATACTGAATCTCTTTATATTCTTTTAAAAATATTTTATTTATTTATTTTTAGAGAGAGGGGAAGGGAAGGAGAAAGAGAGAGAGAGAAACATCAATGTGTGGTTGTCTCTTGTGCATGCGCCACTGGGGACCTGGCCTGCAATGCAGGCATGTGCCCTGACTGGGAATTGATCCAGTAACACTTTGGTTCACAGGCATGTGTTCAATCCACTGAGCTACACTAGCCAGGGCTGAATTTCTTTATATTCTTACATCATAAGTGACAAAAAATAAGTGAGTAGAATTGATGAAGTCTAAATATACATGGAAATGGAGATGAACAACTGGTGCACCCATCATTAAGTAAAGTAAAAATATTGCTTTACATGTTTTTAAAATTTACATAATTATTTTTATACATAGCATTTCGTGCTTAATATTATGTTTGTGAGAATTAACCATGCTGATATAGCTCTAACTTCTCCCCCCTTTTCATTGATGTATATATATTTCTTTGTATGACTTGACTACCATGTATTCATCCATTCTTTTATGAATAGAAATTAATAATTAACTATAAGTTGTTTCATAGTTCATTTTTACAGATAGTAAACTTTAAAAAAATTGGTTCTAGAGAGAGGGGAAGGGAGGGAGAAAGTGAAGGAGAGAAACATCTATCGGCCTCCTCTTGCACATACCCAAACTGGGGACTGAACTCGCAACCCAGGCATGTGCCCTGACCAAGAATCAACTGGGGACCTTTCACTTTGCAGAATGATGCCCAACCAGCTGAGCCATGATGGCCAGGGCATAGACAGTAAATTTCTTTTATGGTTGTTTTTTCATGTACATGTAGAAAGTTTCTGTTGGGTATACACTGAAGAGGAAATTGTTCGATTTTACTAGATATTGACAATTTAGGGTACTATTTTCCATTATTCCACAGCTTCACCAACACTTGGTGTTTATTATTATTATTTTTTTCACCTTTTTATTTTTAAGTTATATTTTATTGATTATGCTATTACACTTGTCTTAATTTTTCCCCCTTACCCTCCTCTACCCACTTCCTCAGGCAATCCCTATGCCATTGTTTATATCCATGGGTCATGCCTTTAAGTTCTTTGGCTACTCTGTTTTCTATATTGTACTTTACATCCCCATGGCTATTCTGTGACTACCTATTTGTACTTCTTAATCCCCTCACCTCTTCACCCATTCCCCCACAACCCCCTCCCATCTGGTAATTATCAAAATGCTCTGTGTATCCATTATTCTGCCATTCTTCTCATTTGCTTCATTTTCTTTTTAGATTCAATTGTTGAAAGATATGTATTTATTGCCATTTTATATTTTGTAGTTTTGATCTTTTTTTTTAAGTCAGACTCTTTAACATTTTATATAATAATAGTTTGGTGATGGTGAACTCCTTTAGTTTTTTCTTTCAGGAAGCTCTTTATCTGTCCTTGGATTTTAAATGATGGCTTAGCTAGGTAGAGCAATCTTGGTTGTAGGTCCCTGCATTTGATGACTTTGAATATTTCTTGCAATCCCTTCTAGCCTGCAAAGTTTCTTTAGGGAAATCAGCTGATAGTCTTATGGGAACTTCTCTGAAGGTAACTAACTTCTTTTTTCTTGCTGCCTTTAAGATTCTCTTTATCTTTAACCTTTGGCATTTTAATTATGATGTGTCTTGGAGTGGGCCTTTCTGCATGCATCTTGTTTGGGACTCTGTGCTTCCTGGGCTAGCATTTCTATCTCCTTCACAAAATTAGGGAAGTTTTATTTTCATTGTTTTTTTCAAAAATAAACTTCCCATTCTTGCTATTTCTCTTCTCCTTATGATACCCCTATTATGGCAGTGTTGGAACACTTGATGTCCCAGAAACTGTGTGTACTATCCTTGTTTTTTGGATTCTTTTTTCTTCTTGTTCTGATTGCTTGTTTTTTTTTTTGCTTCCTTGTGTTCCAAATCATTAATGTGATTCTTTGCTTCATCTGCTCTACTGTTTTTTTTCCCTGTAAACTATTCTTCATGTCTTACTGGATCTTTTTTATGCTGTTGAGGTCATCACTAAGTTTCTTGAGCATCCTTTTAACCAGTGTTTTGAACACTGCATCTGATAGACTGCTTATCTCCATTTTATTTAGTTCTTTTCCTGGAGTTTTGATGGTTCTTTTATTTGGGCTGTGTTTCTTTGTCTCCTCATTTTGGCAGCCTCCTTGTGTTTTTTCTATGTTGTTAGGTAGAGCCGTTACATCTCCCAGGCTTGACAGAGTGGCCTAATGTAGTAGGTGTCTGGTAGGGTCCAGTGGCACAGCCTCCCCTATCACCCAAGCTGGGTTTTTGATGTGTACCCTTTTTGTGGGCTGAGAACACCCCCTCTTGTAGTTGAACCTTGGTTGCCATTGAAAAGTCAATGGAAGCCCTGGCTGGCATAGCTCAGTGGATTGAGCGTGGGCCTGCAAACCAGAGTATTGTGGTTCGATTCCCACTCAGGGCACATGCCTGGGTTGCAGGCCAGTTCCCAGCAGGGGACGCATGAGAGGCAACCATACATTGATAATTCTCTCCCACTCTTTCTCCTTCCCGTCCCCTCTCTTGAAAAATAAATAAATAAAATATTTAAAAAAAAAAAGAAAAGTCAATGGGAAGGATTTACTCAGGCCATGCAGCTGCAATGACTGGCTGTGACCGCTGAACACCAGCCTCTGCTCTTGTGGAGGATCAGCTGTGCATGGGCAGGGTGGTGATGCTCCAACATAGTCTGTAGCTGTCCACTGGGTGCACAGGTTTGGGGTTTTCCAGGTGGTGCAGTCTAAGGTCGGCCCCTGCCTGTGTTTTGCTTGGGGCCACCCTGACTGGGCTATAAAGCAATCTGAGATGGCTGCTACTTGTGCTGGGCTTGAGATTCCCACATGAAGCCAAGCTATAAATTTAAATTGGCTGCTGATATTGCCAGACCTGGGGCCACTTAGCAAGAGGTATGTGGTTTGGAGGTTCACTGAGACCATTTGTTTGAAAAGAGTTAGGAAGTTGTGAGGCCTGAGCCACGACCCATTCATATGAAAAAGCCACTGTTAACAGTTGTAAGTTGGATGGGATAGAGCCTCAGGGGATCTCTGGAGCAGGGTAAACAGTATTATCCAGGTTGATGGAGTCTTAGATATGGTGTCAGCTTGCCAGCTCTGTGGCTCTGTGGGGGGGTTGTGCAGAAAAGGGACAATGGCCTCCACCCACCTTTCTGTTGAGAGAAAGCTGTTCTCTAACTCTCACCTTAATGTCAGACACTTCAGTTCTTCCCTATGTGCCTCTGGTGCCTTTCAGAATGGTGTGTTGGTCCTGGAGCTCAGAGGGAATAAGTGTGCATAAGTCTGTGCATGGGTTCTTTATGGGGAACTGCTTGGTACTCCAGAAGTTTCTTCCACTGACTCAGTCCCTGCTGGTTTTTGCAGACAGAAATTATGGGACTTAACTTCCTGGCACTGGAACCATGGGCCTGGTGTGGGGCTGAGACTTCTCACTTCTGAGATATCCTCCCCAAATTTTTATCCACTACTTGTGGATGTGGGACCAGCCTGTTTTATGTCTTCATCCCTCCTACCAGTCTGGAAGGATGTGGTTTCTGTAATTCTGTAGTTGTCAGACTTCCTCTTAATTTGATTTCTGATGGTTCTAAGTGATGGTTGCTCTATAATTTTGTTGTAATTTGATATGGTTGTATGAGGAGGCGAGCCATGTGTACTATCTTGACTGGAAGTCCAAATACTTGGTATTATTAGACTTTAAATTCTGCTAATCTACCCTGACCTGTGTGGCTAACTTGGTTGGGCATGGTCTCACAGAACAAAAGACTGACCAGGAATCTGGTTTGATTCCTGGTCAAGGTACATGCCTGGGTTGCAGGTTTGGTCCCTGGTCAAGGAGCGTGCAAGCAGCAGCCATTTAGCCATTGGATGTTTCTTTTTCACATTGATGAGGGAGAGAGGGGATTTCTCTCCCTCTTTTCCTCTCTTTCTAAAAATAAATAAATAAAACCTAAAATTTTTTTTTTTGCTAATCCGATGGGGTGAAATGGCATTTCATTGTAATTTTTATTTGTAATCCCCTTAGTGAAATTGAGCCATTTATTTATTTGTTTATTTGTCATGACCTGAAGACATTTTCTCATTGTTTTTAGAGAGAAAGTGGGAGAGAGAAAGGGAGAGAGAGAGAAACATGAATGTGAGAGATAAACATCGATTGGTTGCCTCCCATACATTCCAAGACTGCGGATTGTAGATGCCTGAACTGGGGATCAAACCTGCAACCTAGGTATGCACCCTGACCAGGAATCCAGCCTGCAACCTCTCAGTTGTGGGATGACACTCCAGCCAACTGAGCCACACCAGCTAGGGTGAGCCCCTTAATTTTATACATAGACTTATATAATTAAGATCATCCTGTACGTAATATTTTTGAATATTGTTCTACTTGTAATTGAAATATAATCATTTCCCCTTGTTACATGCTCTTCATAAATAATTTTTAATGGCCACACAATGTTCCAGCATGTGAGTGGAATAAAACATTTTGCTATTATTTAAAATTCAGATTGCATCCATATTTTTCTGTGATGGATGAGGCTGTGAATGAATATGACTAGAAAGAATTTTATGTATTTTGGATGATTTCCTTAGGTTGGCTTTCTAGAGGTGAATTTTGGGTCAAATGATATGCATGATTCTAGAGCTCTTGCTGTGTAAATTGCCAAATTGCTCTTCAAAAAGCTTGTACTAATATTCTTGCCAACTAGCAGTATACAATTGAACCTGAAATTTGGAGGGTATTGCTAATGTCTTTTCCTGATTCTGGGAAGAGTGGTTCCAAATACTTTCTATATGCAATTCAGTCTGTCCTGAGCCAGAGGACACAGATATGGGCACTACAGAGAAGGGCCAAAGGCTTGAATATTACAGTTTCTTTTCCAAAGGAAAAGACTGCTTCTCATGCTTTTCCTGGGAGGACTGCCTACGTGAAGGAGCAGGGGAGTCACTACTAACCTTGCACAGCTCCCTGCTCAGAAGGCTCCCTTCTTCTCCTAGTATCTTTCTTCTGGTGTGGCTCATCTCTGCAGATAAACATAGAGGAGTAAGAAATCAGTTTTCAAGAAATCAAGTCTTTTAAACTCTCAGATGCACAGTTTAAAACACTGGTCATCAGGATCCTCACAGAACTGGTTGATTATAGCCACAAATTAGAGAAACATATGAAGGCGAAACTAATTGAAATGAATGGAATTGCACAGGAAACCAATAGCGATGAAAAGGAAACTGGGACTCAAATCAATGGAGTGGACCAGAAGAAACCAAATAATGGCCAAACAGAAAAGAATCAAGAAGCAAGAATTCAAAGAAATGAGGAGAGTCTTAGGAACCTCCAGGACATCTTTAAACGCTCCAATATCCGAATTATAGGGGTACCAGAAAGGGGAAAGGCACAGCCACCAGTGGAAAACTTATTTGCACAAATAATAAAGGAAAATTTCCCCAATCTGGCAAAGGAAATAGACTTCCAGGAAATCCAGGAAGCTCAGAGAGTCCCAAAGAAGTTGGACCCAAGAAGGAACACACCAAGGCATATCATAATTACATTAGCCAAAATTAAAATGAAGGAGAGTATCCTAGAAGCAGCAAGAGCTAAGGGGACAGTCACCTACAAAGGAGTCCCCATCAGACTGTCAACAGATTTCTCAAAAGAGACCTTACAGGCAAGAAGGGGCTGGAAAGAGGTATTCCAAGTCATGAAATCCAAAGACCTACAACCAAGATTGCTCTATCCAGCAAAACTTTCATTTAGAATGGAAGGACAGATAAGGTGCTTCTCAGATAAGATCAAATTCAAGGAGTTCATCATCACCAAGCCCTTATTATAGGAAATGTTAAAGGGACTTATCTAAGAAAAAGAAGTTAAAGAAACATGAACAGTGAAAGGACAACAAACTCACAGTTATTAACAACCACACCTAAAACAAAAGCAAACTAAAAGGACAGCTAGATCAGGAGTGGAGACATAGAAATGAAGATCTCAAGGAGGGTTAGCAACAGGGTAGTGGGAGGAGGAGATGGGGGGAGAAGGTGCAGAAAATAAGTAGCATAGACAGTAGATAGAAAATAGATGGGGGGGCAAGAGTAGCGTGGGAAATGTAGAATCTAAAGGACTTGAGACACATGGTCATGAACTGAAGGGGGGTAATGGTGGGGATGGGGGGGTAGGGTGGAGGGGAATGAAGGGGGGAATAGAACAACTGTAACAGCATAATCAATTAAAAAATAAATAATAAAAAAAGAAATCAAGTCTTTTTTTTTCTGGAAATAAAATAGTATATTATCTATCACATTTTATGTAATGCTCAGTTAGAGTCAACAAATATTAGGCACCTGCCATTTGCCAGGGTAGTTCCTGGGAATACAATGGTGAACAAAATATATTATGATAGTTTATTGTTGTAAGCACAAATACTATGGTAGTATATTTAGTATATACACTGTAATAACCACGCTGATTGTAGAGAGTAATAACAGCTATTCTATAATTTGCGATAATACTTAAGATTACTATAGTGACTAGCAATTCCTGAGAATTTGTTTTTATGAAAGAGTAGTTTTTCAGGCACTGCAGAAAATAAGGTGTTAAGAGTATAGGTGGATATTTTTTCCTGATTTCTAGATCTTTATTAGATGAGCAGGTTGGTTGCCAGATTGGTTACTTATTAAAACTGGCACAGTGCCCTGCAGGGCTAATGTGTGAATAATAAGTAGTGCTTCTCTGGGCACTGGCCCTGCCCTCATTAGCATCCCCCAGGATCTGCTCCTGCCATGTGGATCTCCATGGTGCCCCCAACTTTCCACTAAGAGCCTTCAGGGGTGGGGTCTCAGTGCTGCTCATACGTCATAGGTGACTCTTTAAAAAGGGATCTTAGAGATGGCAGGGTAATTTAATGGCCATGTGTAACATTTGTAGCTCCATAGGCTAAGCTAATGGTGAAAGCAATGAAACCCTGGGGTCCAGAGCAGGGTATTTTCACAGGTAGGGTGAAGGAGGCACTGGCAGTCCATGCTTGCTGTGGAAGGGTTTCTTTTAATAAAAAAAATACTTTCAAATGTTCATGTATTTGCTAATAGGTCATGAGGGAAGGAAGGATGTAGAAATAGCTAAAGAGGGAACCACAATATTCTGAGTTGTCTGATTGAGGGAATTATCTGTGTGCAGGAAACTAGAAGAGGAATAACCTTCTCCACAGACCTGTGCAAATCTTGCCACACAGTCCAGTCTGGGAATCTGTTAGCTACAAATATCATGTTCCAACTCTTCATGGAGTGGGCTTTCTCAAGCTATATCTTGATGAAGCTATGTCTTGAACTCTAAGGACAGTTTTTATTCTTTCTATGCACACATTTCCAGCAAAAATTTACCAATATAATTTATGTAATTGTAAGATGTAATGATGTATTTATTGCAGTGTTTTCAGCTTTTGCTATTTGGCAACACTTTCCAATAGCAATGTTGCAAAACAAACCAAAAAAACCCCTGACTTTTAAGAGCTCACACTGTTAGTGAGCTGATTATCCAAGCCAATAGAATTTAAACACTCTTGGGTAAAATTTCTCTGTATAAAAAATTGTGTCTCATCTATTAATTTTATAAGCATATTCATTATTATTACTATTATTAAAACTAATGAATTCAACTTGGCCTTGAATCGCCATATAATTAGAGAAATAAAATTTTCTCTCTGAATGCTGTACTCATTGGGAATGGGTAATTTCACTGCTCCAGCCAGTTCTATTATTAATTTCAGGGTTGTTCGGTTTAGCTTCAATTAAAATCAAACATTTATTTTATTACTTTCAATTTAGTTGAATTATCTTTGAAGAGGTAATGTGGGTAATACATGCATGAGGTAGTATATGCAATGGTAGTAAAATCTGAGCAGTTTGAAGGGGTGGGCAGAGAAGGTAAGGCTCTGTCCCACCACTGACTCCTGTATCTGAGCCTCTGCAGTGGCCACCACTGTTGTTAGAGGTTTGTTTGTGTGTGTCCTGTGAAAGATATATCATCAGGGATCAGTCAATGTATATTTTCATATATCTCTATGCACATGTAATTTTAAAAAAGACTTTATTTATTTATTTTTAGAGAGAGGGGAAGGGAGGGAGAAATAGAGGGTGAGATGCATCAACGTGGGGTTGGACCCAACTGGTGAACTTTTGGTTCACAGGCCGACATTCAATCCACTGAGACACGCCAGCCAGGGCTGTGATTTTATTTTTAATAAATGGCAGCATGATATAAATACTTTGGTGTAAATAGTTTTTATGTAATGTCGGGAACTGCCCTGCCTGGTTTCAGGAGCTGTAACCTCCCCATAGCTGAGGATTCGCAGGAATCTTCAGAGAAATTTTTTAACAAATAAAAGAAACTTTTCTGAAATTCCTCCTGCCACAAGCTAGGCGATTACCAATCTAGTTTCAGCTTTGTTTTCACTCCGTCCGCACCTTTAAATCCTACTTCTCGCTAGTGAAAGGAATGTAGTGGGTCAGAAATAGGCTGTTGGTGTAAGACAGTCAGGGAGAGGGTGGACTTTCCTCCTATCCCAACTCCGCTTAAGGATTTCGGGTTGTCCCCCAAGCATTTAAGACTGCGAGGCAGGGCTCGAAGCACTGGACAGCCAACCTTCATGCTGCGATTCCCCGGAGGAGCCAGAAGTTAGACCTGGTGGTATTGGAGGTCCCTATAAGGCCCCTGCGTGTCTCGGGAATTGATCTCAGACACCCTCGGGAGGTTTCAACTCGTGGGAACACTAGAATTCTTTAGCCGAGGGGAGGAAGTGCCTTTCGTTTTCCGAGCTCGGCAAATGCTTAAGGCTCTCATACAAAACCTAGGACTAACGCTAAATTCTTCTGGAAAGTGATCTTTGGAGTCCGGTTGAAATCGAAACACTCATTCACTATCCGCTTTTCCTTATGCAGGCGGATGGAGAGAAGAGGCAAAATCGAAAAGGCCACAAGAGGTGGCTTGAAAGAAAAAATTTGCTGAGATGATTGTAAATTGTCCTGTAATTATTTGATGTTTTTAAAGCCAATTAAAGGGAAAATCATTGCTCTTTCTCCCAAGCCTAGTTCTAGTTGGGGGTTGTGCAGCGGGGATGGGCTCGTGAGTGTTTTTACAGCCTGCCTCTCTTTGCGTAGACTTTTACTTGCAGCCTCCAGAAACCTAGTGTTCTAATCTGATCCACGTACCAGCTAATCCTGTCATGGGTAGATTCCAGCAGG